ATCGATTGCGTTCTCCGATCACGGAATTGATACATAAACGAAGAAATAAATCAACGAGATTATACGATCGGATCATTCACGATGTTTCTGCATTTCAATCGCGATAAATCGATACGATCGATAAATTCAACGCGCGATCGTCGTTTTAAATAATACAAATTTTTCTTTAAACAAAAAAAAAAAACATTGACGATCGATCCTTTGTATTCGAAGGAATATTATTTATGCAAATTTTGGATTAAATGATTATCGCATGAATCGTTGAATGCGGGTCGCGACGTTAAAGCATGAAACATATTATCGCTACCGATTACAAACGAGAAATTATTCCGGCTATCCCCACCCGGGGCAATGTCGAACAGTCGTGGACGCGCGTGAAAATATGACGTAACGCGTACCGTTATTATTTACAACCGCTACGGAATCATAAACCAACTCCGATTTACGTTTACCGCACAGCTGAATAAGTAGCAACGACCGGTTTTACGAAGGCTGCTTTAATTCACGGTCCACTTTAACTCGCGTTTTACTCTCTTCTCACAACGTAATCCCCCTTGCGTCAAAATCTCTTTTTTTAAATTCAAACTCTACTCTGTCATCATGTACAAACACACAAAACCGATCGTGTTTCACTATTCTACAATCACGATAACTTTTATCTTCGTTTTATTATCGACGAATTTTTCAATTTGAAATTCTTTCTACTTTGTGCATTGGAATAAAAAAAAAAAAAAAAAGAAAAAAAAACTGTAGACATAAATATAAAGTAAGGTAAGATTATTTGTTTTTATGAAAAAAACCATGTCAAAAGTGGTCGCAAATCTTAGGGAGAAACCCGGATGCGCATTGGTTTCTGTCAGGAGCGTGAAGCTCGTTAAGGGAGTACGTGACCGCTCGGTGGAATAAGTTGGAATTAACGCGAATCCTGATCGAAGTCCTTTCTCTGTCTCTCTTTCTCCCCTTCGTAGTATCTTTATCTTTGTCCTTCTCGTCCTATCAGGTTGAGACAAACGGAAGAGAAGGAAATTTCGTCTGGTGCAAGGGTAGTGAACGCGTAGTTCCGCATAGCCGCTGATGTTGGAAGTTTTGCGAAAGTGTACGAGAGATAGAGAAACAGACGCATACCAAGAAAGAGAGGGTAAGGGAAAGGGAGAGACAGGATCTAGCTGCCGCGTCATGAAGATTAGGAGGGTGCTTTCGAGGGGTAGTAGTGTAGGAAAGTGGCGTCGCCTAGTACTACGGTGGAAGACCAGCGAAGGGGTGGTTAACGCTTTCCAGCCGAGGCTCAGAATAAACAACAATATTATAACGCAAGCTTAATTGCGCCAGAGGGCTCGGTAACGGGCGCATAAATCGGGACACTGAGCTCGCGCGCGCGCACCCTCCAAACTCCTGCTCACTCTCTCTCTCTCTCTCTTTCTCTCTCATTCTCTCTCATTCTCTCTCATTCCGTGTCTCCCGTTTCGTTTCCTCGTTCTCGACCGGCGCCATCCCCTGGCTACGTACAACGCTACTCTACCAAGCACCTTCTCTCTCTCCTTTCCTCTTGCATGGTCTCGGAGTAGGATTCATTTACAATAAACATGTCGCTCGCTAATTTCGTCGGCGGAAAAGGAGGCATCTCCGGCAGGCTCGGCATTTTAACCGCGATCTATGTCGACGCCTCCTTTTTCCCTCCGGGTAGAAAGAACCTCGTCGATTATACCCCGATAGTTCCAACGGATTCGAAGATAAGGAGAAAAAACGAACGGACTCTAAGGTAAATCCTGAATTATTGAAGAAAGACTGGAAGGGCTTAAAATTTGTCTCTCAACTTGCTGGTGGTGGTGGTGATAGTAAGAATGTACAAATTATATGTAACCTGCTTATGTGAGTAAAGTATATATGTAATTATGTATGGATATATATGTGTGTTGTAAAACTGTACGCATCCTATTCGGGATTCCAGAAGGCCGTTTGGTGGCAACAGACAGGCGGTTCGGAGTAGAAAAATGTTGAGTCCGCGGAGAAGCTCGAGCTTAGGAAGCGTTGCGGTTTGGCGACGTTACCATTCGCGAAACGCGTGAAACAAGAACGGAGAGAGGCGAGAATGCAAAAGAAACGAAACAACGTGAAAGAGAAAGAAGGTGAACAGGATAAAGAGTGCCGGAGGTGTATGCTGGCTTTGTCGAAGGTAAAGGTGCAGAGAACCTGCGACTGCTAGCTGAGAGAGAAAGAAGAGAGAGAGAGAGAGAGAGAGAGAGAGAGAGAGAGGGAAAAAGGGAATGGGTAGTTCAGTCTAAAGGGGTGGAGGAGATGGTTAAACGAAGGGGGTAGTAGGATGGTTTGGCCGTTAGGAGGATGGTTAGCAGCGTGGGCTTTGGCTATATCTACGCGTTCTCGACCACAGGTCTGTTTTATTTTATGAATTGCAATATTTCACGCGACAACTGGACTCGCGGGGCAGTCACCACTAAACTGTCTGCATACGGGGCCGTGCTTACCGCGTGCCATCGTACACCACACAGTGCGCGCACCATCGTCGCGCACGGCTACTACGCCAAAACGATGGCTGCTATGGAAAAGAACAGAGAGAACGGGAATGGGATAAAGAGAGGGAGACAGGTAGAGAAACGCACATACCCAACTCGCATGGCACAAAGGCCATGGGGCCGAGAGAGGGAGTCTTCCCACCCCCGGTGAGTCCAACAACTCGAGAAAAAAAGCTTTCGTTCCGGCGACACTCTGCTGGACGTCCTCTACTACCATTCGCTCCGAAAAAGAGGGAGACCAACAGCCACGCATTGTTCCTCGAGAGCATGGACAATTCTCTTCCTTCCGTCTTTCTCTACACAAGAAGTAAGAGAGCAGGATTTAGGGTGTCTATGGGGTGATCCGTAAAGACGACACCGTGCCTCGTTAGCAGCTAGAGGTGCAACAGAATGGTAACGGTTACAAAGACAATGGTGTCCCTTTGCTCTGAAATTGAACTCCCTTTCTACGGGAATCTTTTACGCCATCCTAAAACTACTATGATGATTCGTTGAAAATCAGTGTAGAAAGGTCCTGTAAATCTAACTCGGTATATAGGATAAATGTAGGATTTCCGAAGAATGAAGGGAAGACGTTCGACGTGGAAAGAAGCAAAGGTGCATTAGAATTTCTAATCTGGGATCTATGGTCTTGCACCGTGGAAGGTTCCCTGCATAGGACGATATTTATTCGTATGGAAGAAGTAGGATCGCGTCTGGATGTTAAAGCATCCCGATGAACGCGACGGCAGGCAGGGCTTGCGAGGTTACGGCAATCTCACCCAGTATGCCTATCTGCACGGTGTTTACCTGACCAGGTACGAAGGAGGTGGACGCGCCATTACTGCTACGGAAGATAAAAGATACGCGCGCGCCACGCCGCGGTCCATATATGTAAATACCTCTGGGGAACGCGTGTACACGGCATACGTCGAGAGAAACGGAGAGAAAGGAGGTAAGAGGGTTGGACACCGCACCAAGGGACACCGAGGGCACTGCTGGAGGGAAGAGCAAGCGGGGGTGCTGAACGAAGCGAAACCTACGGTCAGTAACTCGCGTATGTAACATACTATCTTGAATATGCGCATACATCGCGAACTGGTCGCGTATTCTGAGAATTGGGTAGCCGATCGGTTGCGCGGGAGCTGCCCGTCTCTTCGTAATTACCTTCTTTCTTTCTTTCTAGATCCCAGCCGCCGACCCTCTGCACGACCTTCTCCTTCCTCTACCCCCTACTTGCCTGCCTGCCTGCTTGCCTGCCTGCCTACCCTTCTTCTTCTTCTTATTCTTCTTCTTTAGATTCTCCTTCATTCCACTCTTCTCTTCTCTTCTTTTCTCTTTTGCTAAATAACACAAAACGAGTACAGTTTCACCCTCACCTTAAAATGACTGTAACTTCAACGATTCCTTGGGAAAGCATATTGAAGACGAAGGACATGCTGTCTTCCAAGGTAAAATCAGGATACCAGAATACTTGCTCCGATAGATATCGGGAACGGAACATAATTTTCCAAGCGATACTGACAAGCTGATCTATGAAATGGCAGTTGAGAGTGGTTTCCGAGGGTTGGTGGTAGTACGCTCATGGGTTGGATGATGTAATTCGTCGATTAAGTAGTTCATGGACTTTGAAAACTTTTCCAGAGATACGCGTTGCTTTACGAGAACCTTGTCTGACGTTGTACGAACAAAGACTACTTTTCTATAATAATATATTTTTTGTTTGTTAAAAAATCGAACGAACGAAGTTCAAGAAAAGAGAAAAGGATAAAACATAAGGTGTTAACATTTGCTTTATAGTCGACCGGCTCTCTCTACTCGGAGTACTATAGCAATGTTTTAATACTTATGTCGACGTCGTGCAACTCGCGAACGTTTGCGAGGGGAAGGTTAACACGATGCGAGGCGCCCTAGCTGTGAGCTCCCACGTATAGGCGCCTACCTGAATACATTAGTATTAGAGAAGGAAGAAGAAGAAAAAGAAGAAGAAGAAGAAGAAGAAAGAGTAGGAGGGTGAAGAAGGAGACCATATACCAACTCGCGGCTCATAATGCAAGCCCGTTAAATACTATAGAATGACCCTTACAAGCTCACAACCCACTATGAGATGTTAATACGAGCTGGTGTCTTGCAGAAAACACACCTACCGCCTCCCCATCTTCGTTTCTCTATCTTTATCTTGGTACGTCTTCAGGTTTAACTCCGCTGTTCCTTTTTCTCTTATACTCGCCAACGGATACGGTCTTTTATTTTATAGTTATGCAGCAAGGACACTTTTACTACGAGTGCAAGCGGACATTTCGCGGTTTCAACTCGCGGTAAACGTTTTTATTGTCCTAAGCTTTTTATTCCGACCTAATGCGTCACCGTGATCCAAAGAATTTCTACAGTCGAATATTGCTCGTCATTAATGTTAACAGTTTAAGCGACGGTGACGAGACGTCTCATTTGTTATAGCTTTCCTATAAGAATTAAACTAAGTTTACTTACTTGGTGTAAAAAGCATTGTCGCATTCCGAACAGACGAAATTTCTTCTGCGATGAACCTCGTCTGACCAGCCAGTTATCGAAACGGAGGAACAATTTCTTTGATGAACATTCAAGTCAGACCTTCTTGCAAATGACACGTAACACTTGGCACACGAAAATGGACGTTCACCTGTATGCATTCTGATGTGGTTCCTTAGGGACGCTTTGGTGAAACTTTTTTTACACAGAGGACACTGATATTTAATTATTGATTTGTTGTCTTTGTTTGATTGAACTCCGTCACTATGAAGAACCTCGTGAAATATTAATTCTGCTTGTGAATCCGTCGAGAAATGACAAGTGTTGCACTTCCATTCTTCTTTTACCACTGTCGTTGACTTAGTATCATTCACTTCCTTTTTCTTGCTACACTTATTGTCCCTGGTGTGTCGCGTTACGTCTTGCGAAAAAGCAAAGAGTATTCCGCATTGTGGACACCTGCAAGAATTTCTTATTAAGGATAAGAACAACGTATACTTATAAAGTAGGTATTTCACACCCAACAAACCCAAAACTAACCTGTGACACAAGTTTGAATGCCTTTTCAGAAGATGTTCCTTGTGTTCTGCAAGAGTTGATTGTTTCTCGTCGCAGTGCGGACAATTTTTATGTGTTCTCTTTGATGATTTTTCAGACGAGGATTTGAGTTTTTTAACAATTTCCTTGTGAGTTGAGGTTCTTCTATGAAGAACGGCTTCTTGAGCAGTAGCAAAGTTCATCGAACAAAAAGAACAAAAGTAAGGCGTTGGTTGCGTGGAAAGGGCCAATTCGTTCTTTTCGCTTTCCTTGTTAACGTGACAGGTTAACTGATGGCGTTGAAGAGATACCAAGGACCTCACGACTTGGGGGCACATGCTGCACGTGATACGTTGTTGATACTCGTCCGATGCTGTGAGACTTTCCTTGTGTCCTGTCTCCTTGACGTGCATTCGCAGCTGCAGATTATATCGGAATTGACGGTTGCAGCTGCTACAGGGTAATGCTTGTTGACGACTGATTACCACCGGTACCGAACCGTTCATCATTGATACTACGTCACGATGACTCGTGCTTAATAAGTGTGTCTCCATTGTTTTACTGTCAGCACACCAGAAATCGCAAGAACCGCATCTATAGCTTCCACTTATCTGCAACAATTTATGTCAAAATAAAATATCATGAGTTTGACGACCCTAATGTTCATTTCAACATCACGACGATCATATTTACTTTTTCTAAAGTTTTAGAATGAAGTTCTGAACGCCAGTGAAGTAAAAAAGTTTCTTCGGTATTACAGTAGAAACGACAAGAAGCACATTGGAATGGACATTGGCGAACTACGTTCCCCATGTTCTCCAATAGAAATCGACGCGCCCTTGGACTCTGAGGATTTATTCCTGCCACGCGGCAATGGTAATGGGAAAGCAAATGTTTGCCCATTTGAGCTTTTCTCACGCGAGCGTGACACATCTCACAGGAGAGTACTTCTTTTTCTCTTTTACGAGGATTCTTCTTGACTTCTTTATCTTCGGGTGTAGGTTTGCTTTTCTGTAAATGTAGACGTTAGATTAAACTACATCAAATTTCGAACATAATCATTTTATAGAGAAAACTAATTTATTGTACAGGATGTGTCTATTTTTCTTGTCTTATTATTATAGTTTGAACATCAAAATCTGGGACACCGTGTATATTGTTAATACAAAATAGGAACAATTATTCTTTAGATAACTAATATTAACCTCAGCTAGGGCGATTTGCCGTCGCGTCAATATTCTCCTTGCGGTACGTGGTAGATGAACACCATCGTCGATCTCACGAATGCTTCTTCGAGCATGCAAGTCAGAGAGAAGGTGCCTGTTATAGACCAATCGCGACGCAAGCTTCCTGCCGCAAGGATTGCACCAATATCCCGAGTCGATATCCGTTTGTGTACCCGGAATCCATTTTCCTTGCGTGTGTTCTGGTGGTGGTTGTCTCGCTGTATTCTTACCCTGATAATCCTCATCTTTCTGCAATGAGTATTTCAAGATAATTATGGGTAAACATTTGTACAATTATTTTTGTTTCTTTACCTGAGCTGATTCCGTGGGCCTCCACTTGCCACCTGTGTAACTGGGAGGTGGGTGTTCCGAATGTTGATCATCTTCAGCTTCTACCTCGTCGTCTTGTAACTGAGCTATATTTTGAGGAAGATCATTCAAGCCAGGCTTCCATTTTCCACCTGTGTGACCTCGTGGTGGTCTTTCCTGATCTTCACCGTCGTCGGATTCGGAATAAGATTCTTCCTCAGCAAGATCTTCGTCTAACATCAAGTCTACGTCCTGCTGATACTCGAATTCATCATATCTGGTTAAATCTTTATTTTCATTATTTTCAACAAGATCTGCTAGTATCGTATCATCTAACCACGTTTGATGATCTTGTTCAATTCTTTGATTTTCTTCAGGCCTTTTCCTATCGGTTTGTTTCGAGTCAGTAACTAAACCTTCTAAAGAATGTTCTGGTTCGTGTTTGATAGGAAAATTCGATCCTTCAATGTTAATAGTTGAATGTCTAATCGATTGATTCAATTTGTTCGAATTGACAGTAGTCGTAGATTTATTGGCGGTTGAAGTAACGATATCGGAGAACCCAACGAAAGACGGAATGCAGAGATGTTCCTCGGGATCGTCCAAGTCTGTATCAGCTGGTAACATACTGTTAAGTTTTTCTTTGGAATCTTCAGTTTCCGCAGGTGTCTTTTGACCTTTCTTTCGTCGTTCATTTCTCTTGTATTTCCTATTATTCTCTAATAGAGTATTTGTACGTCTAGGATTTGGTTTCGAACTGCTCTGCAATTCTAACGAACTGAAGAAAGCATCTGCATTGAGTATTTCTGGATAAGAGACAGTGGTTGGAGTTGAGGGTGATTCTCGTGCGGTTTCAGCTTTGTCGTCAGGTGGACGGCATCCAGATTGACGATGACGAACATAATTTTCTAATCCGTGTATCGTAGCGTGACACTTGATACAAAAGTGTGTATCGTCGTCATCCTCGTAACCCTCCATCTTCCATCGACGTATACTAGGACAATCCCTTGGTTAATCATTCTTTTTGTTTTTTTCTTCACCTTTCTCGTAATTATCTTTAAAAAGTGATAACGCCGTGTTAGATCGCACGACTCGATTCCCAACTATGATCATCCCTGGCGATCCATTTGCATAGAAAGTATTTAGCAACTGTGAACGCGTAATAAGCACGTACTACTTACTTTAATCGTTCCAATTATTTCAAACAACTTTTATCCCGGAAAATTTGCGTTATCTCGATTAACAATTTTTCCAAAGAAAAAAGCATAGGCTAGGACCCGTGTCCTAGGAAAGAAAAGGTTCTCTTATGCGTTCGTATCAAATACAATTGTTCCAATCAAAAGATGAAACGAAGAAGAAGCGAACGAAACGGATAGTAAAAGGGAACAAGAAAAAAACTAAATAAATGGATATAAAGAAGTGGAGAAAGGAGTAAAAGAGAAGGGCGTTAGCGAACCGCAGCGGGCAAATTGAAGGACCGATATTCGCAGAACAGAAGGGAAACAAGTTGACGCTTCGCACGGGCTTCGGGGGGGTTGGAAGATCGGTCGATGCCGCTTGGCCGTTATTCGGACGACGACACTTCGCCTCCCACTTCCTCTCTCCCTTCAACCCCTCACCCTCTTTCTCTCTCTTTCTCTCTCTCTCTGTTAGCCTCAAGCAACCCCGCACCCCTTGGCAACCCCGTCCGCAAGCCGTCCTTCGCCACCTTCACTCCCCTCACCAACCAACCAACTCACCCTCCGCAGTGTTGCGCCCTTTTCTCCGCGAGCCACCCCCGCTTGCTTTTACAAAGTCTGTGAACCGGCAGCAGACCTCCTCTCTTCTACGTCTCGCGTCTTATTAAGCTAACAAAGAGAAACAGTAAGAGAGAGACAGAGAAACGTCGAATGAAATTTTCATCCAACCAACAGCAGTCTACTCGAAATATCTTCTTCTCTTTGTCAAACTGATCGACGCGAGTTTATATTTGCACTTATTTTTACTTTCATCTTTTCATTTTAGGAAACAAAAAATACGATAATTATTTCTATTGTTCTTCTACATTAAAACATGATTTCAAATAAAGATTACAAAATTTGTTATAATTCTAATCATGATTTTAAACTATATATGCAAAAAAAAAAGTGTTCGTATAATTGTTGTTGAACGTTTATCCGCATCGTCGTTCGAACAAAAGACTTTCAAATGGCACGTATTTGTAGATTCGTGTTATACGAAAGGGACAACGTTCGAGGAGCAGAGTAGAAAGAGAAAAGGGAGAAGGGTGGAAGGAGAAGGGAAAAGGGGAAAACCTGAAGAGAAGGGTGTTTTCGGAGACTATCGCGGAGAACTGACGCGTGCGCCACCAAACTTTCTATCCCCCTTACAGCGTTAAGTTCAGTCGATATGTATTGTCACTTTAAAACCTACCACTGCTTTACACAACTAGATGCATACAAAAAAAAAAAAAGAAGAAGAAGAAGAAGAAGAAGAAGAAGAAGGACTAGTACCTTTATTCTCTCTGTTCTTCATCATTAATTTAAAAAATTATAACAAATCTTTGAGCATGTGTGCCAAACCAAAAAGAATTTCGTCAGGATTAGTTGATATGAGGAGAAGATATTTGGCAAATTGGAAGGATCGTACACGTATGCGTGTATGCGTGAGTGTATCTTGAATATCGTGTAAGTATATAGATACACATGTACAGAGGGATAACGTTACGAAGCGTAGAACGAAGAAGAGGGTGTAGAGGGTTGGATGAAACGAGCCGGATGGATCTGTTTAGATTTACGAGTATTTGTTGAAAAAACAAAGAGAGCCGTTAATTGGCCGATGGTTCGTGAACAACGTTGGAGAAGTCGATACGTCAATATGATATCCAACGTTGACATATCGCGTTCGAGTTGGGAGTACTGAGTTTTCGTTAACTAGTTATGGGTTTGTAGGGGTAGCATTATCGTTCTTCGTTGATCAATTCTTTTCATTACGGATTGGAATGATGGTAAAAAGTTGGAACACCTGCTGACCCTTCAAGACAGAAAGAGAGATACACTCAAACAAAAAGAGAAAAAAAAGAGAGTAAGCTTTCAGAGAGACGCTTTTGGAAAAAGTGCGAAAAGTAATGGTACGGCACGTCGACGTGGTCACCTAGCGATCCATCCAACAACGTCGGCGGAGAGAAGAGAGGAGAAGGGTGGAAACTTGTTGAACGCGCGAGAAGTAGACGAATTTCTCCGTGCTTCGAGGGATCCCTCGTGTAAGAGAGAGAGAGAGAGAGAAAGACAGGACGATAAGGAAGACGAACGTTTACAAGAAAATCCGCGACTACCTTCTTCGCAGAAAGCTACGAGTAAGAAACTAAAAAAGGATATCAAATAAATGATTGATATTTTTGTTTAGCTATATACACACCTATATCTACGATTTAATTAACCATAATTTTTTTTTTTTTTCAATGTAATTAAAAGAACCCCATTGATTTTCCTACAAATAAGATGAAACGATCCTTTAGACCCTTCCTCTACCTAACATCCTTTCTAATCCAATCGGAATGATTGAGAATTTCCTGTTCTTCTCGTTCCTTAATAATCATCACGATGTACGATAATCAAGACGAACCCCTCAGACACGAGTTCAACATAACGAACGAAGAAACGAACTTTCTGCTGCCCCTTTTCTTGAACACCGCCATCGTCAAAATCGAAGCTTCGAGTCGGTGAAAATGAGGAAAAAGAAAAGCAGGAAAAAGAAAAAGGAGATGAGAGGAATCCTTATGGGACTCGTCGAACGAAATTAGACGATCCCGATCTTAGCCAGTGAGCACCCAAGACTCTATTCCATTCTTTTTCTTTTTCCAACTAACAACTAAGACTCTACGAGATTCTGCTGAGAGGACCTAAATCTAATACGATACTCGTTGTTTTGTTATAAATAAGATTGCGTTAGTTTTAATCAACTTTGAAGGGATAGAACAATGATAAAAAATTTCACAAAAAGAAAAGTAGCAGAACTACGAGTTATGGGTGATCTTAGAAAGGGGTTGAAGAAATAACAAAAGACAGGGATACTACATTATCCTATCATGTGTTTCATTTTCATTCTGTATAGTCTTTTACTATAACTCAATAGTCTCTGAGTAAAATCCGTAGGAGCGAGTAGTCGGTAGGATTCGGAAGCTGTAGTAAGGTGAGCTCGACTCGTGCGAGAGTCCGGTGGACGTAGGAGGGTTGGCCATCGTATCGTAGAAGTGGCTAGCCGAGGGCAGAGAGAAAGAGACAGAGAGAGTAGGAATATAGTGGCAAGGGGTAAGAAGAGTATAGGGGATGGATGCAAGGTCCGGGGAATATTGAGCCGCTCCGTTAATGTTTATAACGACGTTAGACGTTGGTGTCCCCGCTGGGTGGCGTGCGAGCAAGAGCGGTCTCGTGTGCGTTCAGCGTGTGTAGGTGCGATAAGATAGGTGGTAGGTATAGGTATAGGTATAGGTATAGGTATAGGTATAGGTGCGGGGAGAGTCAGTAGGAGGTGGGTTCACGATTCTGTCTCTCTTTTTCTCCCCTCTCTTTCAGCTTCTCAGCAGCGGCGGTGGCGGTGGCGGCGGCGGCACTACCAGCAGCAGGACAGGAACTGACATAAGCGACCGGGTGTGTATGTAGAGCACGTACTCGGGGGCTCTCCAGTTCGACGGAGTAGGTGGATGGGGATGAGGAGAATGAGGAGGATGAGGAAGAGGGCTGAGAGGCAAAGGGTGGGCTGCATTCTAGTAGTGGGACGAGGGAGCCTCTGTCTAATCGATGCCGCGGCGGTGCGCGCTCGCCCCGCTGGCTATTACGCACCTTAATGTCCTTTTCCCTCGTCCCCTCCGGCCCTCCCGCCACCCTCGAACTCGCTCTTGCTCGGTCGGTCGGTCGGTTGCTCGCTCGCTCGCTCTCTTACTCACTTGCTTGCTTGCTTGCTTGCTTGCTTGCTTGCTTACCCACCACCCACCCACCACCTTCGACTGCCGTTCGCTACCTCACTACCCCCTCGCGCCTTATTCCTTTTTCTCTGTTTCTCTCGAAAACTCCCTATCCGAGCCACCCCACTCCCCTTTTACTCCCTCCCTACGCTCTTCTTCCACATCTCGGTCAGCTATCCTTTTCCCACCTCTTACCGTCTCCGACTCTGTCTATTTCTCTCGATGCGCCCGCGAGAACCGAGAGAGAGAAAGAGAGCGGGAGGCGGCCATGACACGTGTCAATCTACCGCAGACGCCCGATCGATACCGACGGACCTCGGCTTCTCTCTGCGTTCCCCACCCTCCTTTCCTTCCTTCCTTCGCCCTATCGTCGAAACCTCTCTCCCCTCCCCACCTCCTCATTCTCTTCCTTCTTACCCTGTTCGTACCAACGGCTTCTTTCCATCTCTTTCTCTCCCTAATGCCAACGCTCCTATACACACCGACACTCGACCCCTGACCTCCTGCCACCGTCCTCCTCCTTCTCCTCATCCTCCTCCTCATCCTCGTCGTCGTCGTCACAAAGAGACTCGCGCCTTTCGCGATCCTTTCTTGTTTCTTTTTATTCTCTTACAACACACATCTTCCCTTGCAATTTTTTCTCCCTTGGATGGAAAATTGTCTAAAAACCTTCATTTCACCCGATCAACGTTTCTTTTTCTTTTGTTTTCTTTATCCAATGTTCGTCATTTTGAATGTGTTTGATTTATTTAGCTTATGAGACTAATTTTTGTAATAAACATGTTATTAGGAATGATGTCGTATGCATTAATTTATTTCTATGCAGTTTCGTTTGTCGTAACTTCTAACTAGTAAATTTGGAGTATTGTATAACGATGAAAATGTTAAATTAATATTTTGCAATAGTGTCGGGGCTCGTGTCCGTGCTTTCCAGGTAGAGTTTGACTGCAAACGGGTTAATATCTTTTTATGAGATATAAAATATAGATTATATGGTAGAAGTTTAAAGTTCCCTCGTTTGAAGAAACTTTTACGAGTAAGCGAAGGTAAAGACGCCTCTTCGCATTTTCTTTACCCGCGATCGATGAATCCGATGGACTCGGTGCAAATTTTTCTTTTATTTGCGCCACACCGTATCTCGCGCATTCTATAGTAAAACTCCGCGCGAATCACGTAGAAGAAGAAGAAGAAGATAGTGGAAGAAGTG